GTCTACCGAATATTTGTCATTTTTATTGTTTGATTAGAAGAATTTGATTTTTGGTTATACCATTTTTCTAGGGCAACTAATTTCTACAAGGTTAAAACCCTGTACATATATGCAATGGAATTCCAATCTACTGGCTGACTAGTAATGAGTATTTCTAAGCATTCTATTTATACCTTTTCACACTTAGATATTCCATGAAGCATATTACTTTATCTTATTTTCTTCCTGCTCTCTGCTTCTGTTTCATTAGACTCTGAATCATGCCAAGATACGTTGGATGCCTTTTGGTCTGTAGTTGGTTCGCTTTCTGAAGCAGACAAACGCGCTCTCCTTCGTTTCGTGACTGCCTGTTCTCGGCCGCCAATGTTTGGCTTTCGTGATCTTCAGCCTCCTTTTACCATACAAGTAACTGACCAGACAGACAGATTGCCCACTTCTAGCACCTGTGTAAACCTGCTTAAGTTGCCAGATTTCAGAGAGCCAGGCCTTTTACGTGAACGTTTGCTCTACGCTATCCGAGCTAATGCAGGATTTGAGTATAGTTGAAATGTTTATTCATATTTGGTTAGGTGAGAGACCTATAATTTACTGATGTACAGTAGCAACAATATCCTTTATTATTCGCCCATTATTATTTACTACTTCATTGCTTGACGCATCTTTCTGATTCCCACTTTAAGACTTTACTTAATTTTAAGATTGAAACATTTGAAGTTTGCTCTTTCAGCAACTGCTAACTACTTAATGTCAATCTAGTTATGTTTCATGTTTCTCTAGCAAATCCGTTCTGAAGGATTATTCTGTTTAGATATTCCGATTCACATTTTGTCCTACTTCATTATCCTGGTTCTCCATCTGTCTGTAAAAGCTTTTTTATCTTGCTCTCCATTAACCTTTATCTTGTGTAATTCTTATTTTTATGGCTCTGTAGATGTTCATCGCGCGAAGTCACCGTTTTTTAACCATTTACTCTTCTCCAAACCTTCATATATGAACACTACTGCCCATTGCATTGATGATGTAACTATATTTAATCACACACTCTCAGCTTGCAACCTGTAAAGTGCGACTCTGACATTTTAAACTTTTCCTTCAATTCATTCATTTTCTCTTAATTCCCTATATATTTTCCTTTCACCCAAAGCTACTTTTGATTACTACCGATAGAAAATAAAGGAGATATACTGCATTTTTATGAGTCCCAGCTATGCCGTTTGGTCGATTTTACTTTTTTCCTTTACCTATTTGGAGAAATTTGAGTAAGTTTTGTTTATTTTTTTTAAGATATTTTTTGTTTTCTCGATGCTGGTTTGCGATTTTTCATTAGATCTGATGTGATCTGATTACCTTTTAGCACGAGTAATATCCTAGGAACTGTACTTAGACCGACAGGGAAGATAAAAGACAGAAGAATGCGATATTGGAGTTGTGTAATATTCTTTGGATTCGCTAATGTAGTTGCTCACAATATATATGCAGTTGGTGTGTGCATCTGTGGTGGTAGATATTCAAGAATATACCAGGGGTATGGCTGATAAAAAGTACTACAGATAAAGACTTCCAAAGGGGTGTAGACACGTGGAAGACGTCATGGTGAGGCGCAAAACGGATATATGGTGTTGATTTGATGTCGTTTTCGCTTAATAGTCCCATTACTTCTGCTAAACAAGGTTAGTTCTGTAGATGTGAGCTAAATAACAGTTGTTTGACCTTGTTTTCGCAACTTGGTTATATTGGTAGGAAGACTTAGAGAAACGCACTTTGTCCAAAGTCCATTGTATACATAATCATTTCCAAAGTCGGACCGTGGACATAATACATTCTCAGACGTTTCACCGGCATCATAGTCGGCATCTTTAGTCAGTTTTACCATTCTTAGCACCATATTACAACTCTTCAAAGAGACAAGTGAAGCCGATCCTTTGACCAAACGTGTGCTAAACAGTTCTGGTATCTCCCCTTCTGC